TCTCGAGCATCTGCGAAGCAACGATATGAGTGGGCTAAGACCTGCAAGTTTATTCGAGTGTTGACGTTATTTTAGCTATATAGTTAAGTACATGTACGTGATAAGAATTCGTCGACATGGCCTGTGTCTTGTTCTCCTTAATCAACCAAAATTATGACAAATTATGTCATAAATGAGTGTGAGCTAATTCTTCGGTAGTATTCGCTAAACACTGTTGGCACTAACCTACACTAAGTTATGTTTAAACAAAGTCAACTTTAGTCGCTCAAATCTCAGCTCAGGATCATCTCTATTATTTCCATGAACGTGTGGGGTCCCACGAGAGCAGGGCCGGCCACAAACATTCGGGCAGCAGTTGGAGCAGAAGCAGAAGTCGCTGCTTTGCCATCGAACGGTTTCGTAGCTGCTGTAGTTGCTTCTGTTACTGTTATATCGGCAGCTTGATGGTGTCCCGTGATGGGATAACGCCTTTGATCAAAAACTAAGATCGAACCTACCAGACCAACGCCATCGATCGACGTCTTGGATATACTCTCACATTGTAAATTCTCACACGGTGAACTTTAACATTATGAACTTCAACAATGGTAACTTAAAAACATTCACATATACATTTGAATAATCTAAAAATTACTGTAAACTAGTATTGTTAGTAAACTCTAAATTTGTGAACTCTAACAATATAACCTATGAACTACAACCTATCCATTGTAACGCTGTAAACGAATATAGACGCACAGTGAACACATGTGGTGAACTAATAAGGAAATCATGGGGAATGATACTTTAACGCTTTGGTATTCCTGGAACGGAAATGGTTTGCATTGTACTGGAAATGTGTGAACATAGGACGTAATAAATATTCCCTTCGAGTTTTGACGTAAAAATGATTGCAGATGAATAAAAACGTATTTTTAACAAATGTTTGTACGGTCTTTATTTTGTGTTCCTAGCAATAACATGTTAAGATAATTTCAGGTGGAGGATCTCCGTCACACAAGTGTGCCCTTAACCGGCAGCATCTTGGCTGTCTACCCGATTAACACGTGTTCCTTGAGGGTAAAGATCCCCGTAGTTAATCGTTCATCAACGTACCAGTCCCTAATCCCGAAGTATGTCGGGGATAAACTGTATTCTATAACATGTAAACTGTAATACTATAAAAGATAACACTAAACATTAAAAGATTGTAAACTAATGTTCTAATTTATAACCATATAAACGGAGGTAAGGTATTATAATATCATTAGAATCACAGTGTGGTCGTATAAGAATCACGCACAAACCCATTATGAACTCATGAGATTATGAATCGTTACAATTATTATAACAATCACAAATTGTGACAAAGCGAATTTCCCACAAGCAAAACACCACGCTCACGTGACGAATTCTTAAACAAACTGCAACACTCAAGTGACAGAACTCAACAAAAAAACGCCGGATTAAAAAGAACAACATCAATGGACAAATCCTAAAAACAGACAACACACGCACGTTTGTAGCTGTTTGAAGAAAACAACACCTAGCACCTTCAACTATACACATTATACATCCAACTCGTAAATGGGGCGGTATATGATAGCCTTCGCTGCTGTCGACGAGGCCAAGCAGCGAGTGTTAAACTCCATTGTTTCAGAATCCGTGTCATCACCCGGCCACAGCGCCTTACCCAAACTACATCTCCCCAACAAAACAGCCTTCCCTATGCTGTGTATTTTAGCAGTTTATTTACGGACGCACTTGAAGATAACAATTCGTCTAGAAAAGGCAGGCGACTTGTTCTACCAACATGATTTCAATTTATATCCGAAAGAAGTATGAGTTCATTCATGAGTAGTATTCACTAAGCCCCGATAGCACTAACCTACACACAGTTATGATTAAACAAAGTAAACATTAGTCGCTTATCTCAGCTCAGACATGATCTTAGCAATTATTTCCAAATCCGTGTCGGGTCCCACGAGAACAGGGCACGTTCACAAACTCTCAAATTGTAAACTCACATTGTATACTCTAACATTATAAACTCTATCAATATAACCTTCAAACTATGAGCTATACACTGTAACGCTTAAAAATAACACTACAAACTAGTGTTATAGTAAACTATAATGTTGTGAACTCTAACAATATAAGCTAACAGCGATACATTATAACGCTATAAAATAACATCATAAACAAGTGTGATATTCGAATCTCATTCGAATTCTTTGCTTCACACCGTGGTCCTCTAAGAATCACACTATGCTCGTGAGTATGTAACATGTCTGTATGTAATATGCATGAATGTAATATGTATGTATGTAACATGTCTGTATGTAATATGTATGCATGAGATATGTCTCTATGTAGTATGTATGCATGTAACATGTATGTATGTGTAGTAATTTCGAGGAAACGATGTCGAAGTTCAAGCACACTCTGTTTATTAACCCAGGGACAGGCACAATAGTTGAAGGGGTATCGGCCCCTTCACCCGTACTATGGGAAACCCACCCTATTCCTAAGCCCTCTGTCCTGTCCCCCAGTCCTCCTCTACTGGGCTACGGGAGGCTGACTGATCTGGCCCTGGCAAGCACAGATCTCGGCACCAGCTAACCAGCCTTGCCCTGATAAGGGCAGCGGTCTGGAAGCTCTTGGGCCGCGCCACTGGCTTACCCGGCTCGGCCCTTATAAGGACGGCGAGACCGGGGAGTCCCAGGGCCTAATCTCCGAGTCTTGGATCTTCACTGGTCAGCTTCGTGTCGAACTGAACTCGAGCTCTTTGGGTCTCCACCTTTTATAGGGATCGCCTCCGAGGGCTGGGGGCGTGGGCAATAACTGATGCGGACGTCGGTGTGACCACCCGTGTATGTGAGTGACGACAGTCCTGTGTTTGTTGTCCGCCGTTTCTCCCGTAATAACCCCTACATATGTAATATGGACGTGCGAACCAAGGGTGGGATATGTGAAGCGGAAGGTGCAGGATCAGGATGGGATTAAAATTATTTGAATAACACTTTGGAGGTATTAGGATCAAGCTGTCTACTATTGGATGAATGTTCCATCTCAATGGCATCAAATATCAATATTCAGTATGAATATGTAAAATAATCGCACAAACCCAATATTAGCCCGTGAAATAATGAATCGTTATAATTGTAATGACTCCGTAGTCAGACTGCAGAGGGTTCTTTTATGTAGCCTTTAACGCGGTTTCAGACCCCAGGCGTCACGATATAGCAACGACGACGACGAGACAGCAACCAGCCAACACAGCCCCAAACCTCGTTCCTCCCCCTCTCTCATTCTCGGCGTGAACCTCCGCCCACACTTGGTCTCGCCTTCCCTTCTCGAACTCTCTCTATCTTGTTGTCATCACTTGTCTCTTAGTTGAGGCACTGTCTTTACATCACCCACCTCTATGACCTCTACCTGACCCCACCATAGGCGGAGCAACTTGGGGGACATACAGATGTGTATGTAAATTATCTGTTCAATCGGGGGTCGGATATGTGAACCGTGGGGTGGGGGGGTACAGGGCAAGACTTGCATTCAAATTTCAGAATAACAATATGGTCGTATTAGCATTTTAATGGGCTTGAATGTATGTTACGTGCAAATGCAAATCGTTAGTCGTAAATGCGAGGGAGGGGTTAAGAGATGCACGTTTAATCCAGTGTTAACATTAATTTTAGCATCATATATAAGGACACTATTGTTGATAATAACTCGTCTGGACATGTCATGTGACTTGTTCTACTCGATCAACCAAAATTAGTACAATGTCGGTCATACAGGAGTGTGATTTCATTCATGAGTAGTAGTCACACAGCCCCGATGACACTAACCTACCTAAAGTTATGGTTAAACAAAGTAATCTTGAGTGACCTAATTCTCAGCTCAGACATGATCATCGCAATTATTTCCAAAGACGTGTAGGGTCGTGCGAGAGCAGGTGCCGACTACAAACAGCTGGGCAGCAGAATCGGAAGTAGCTGCGTTGCCCTCGAAATGTGATGTTGCTGCTGTTGTTGTCGCTGCTGCTGTTGTTGCTGCTGTAGTTGTTTCTGTTGCTGCAATAAACGCAGGGAGGTGGTGTTCCGTGATGGGATGACGCCTTTGATTAAAGCCTCTGATAAAACTCACCCGATTGACGCCCTTGATCGTCGCATTTGATCAACTCTGATATTGTAGACTCTCACATGTTAAGCTCTATCATAGTGAAACATAATATTATAACCTATGAACTACAACCTATCCATTGTAACGCTGTAAAATAATATTACCTATTGGGTTTCACTCCCTCGTCGAGAAGGCCGCTCTCTTCCTTTTCTAAAGTTACATTCTAATTTCTCTGCATTCACTTTAAATCGAGGACAAAGTTTTTCCATTTATTCAAAATAAGCGCACAATTACACACTCAGATGCACTTACATATTAATGCATGAAGCACAATGGACACATTACTCGGTATGTTAATATACATGCGGATTGTACCTTCCAAAATTAACAATCGAATGCAAATATCCTGAAAGACAAAGGATTGGATTCGAGGGGGGAGTTATAAGGCGGCTCAGAAGCAGAGCTCAATGCCATTTCGAGAGGGAACTTGATGAGGTTGGACGCTCGACTCATCGCTCTGCTGATCGCTCTTCAACCGCGCAGCCTGGCGAGCACAATTGCTGTGTCGACATTTAGGCGAATTTGCGTCGGGAGAGTTCGTGGCGACATCTTCAGACGGGTTTCAGACACCGATATACCGTAAATATCCAAGTAAGTGTCTATTTTCGCGGATAAACTCTTAAACGTGTTCGTTGTCAAATTAGCGGGATTTTTTTGCGTCTCGGTTAGACGCGAGTGTCATTCTTGTTTTAGCAGTTAACAAAATCCAAAACTTAACGCTAAAAATCCTTGCGGCCGATAGTGTACTTTTGACTCGATAACACCTCTGCTGTTACTCCGCTCACATGGAGCAGAGACGCTCTCCACAGCCCCACGCACACGGAGACAAGAAGCCATTCAATTGCTCTGTGTGTGGGAAGTCCTTTTCATGGCCATCAGATCTTCAGAGACACCAGAGAACACACACGGGCGAGAAGCCATTCATGTGCCCTGTGTGTGGGAAGACATTTGCACGGTCATCAACTCTTCAAGATCATCAGAAAACACACACGGGCGTGAAGCCATTCTTGTGCTCTGTGTGTGGGAAGGCATTTGCACACTCGTCAACTCTTCAAGATCATAAGAAAACGCACACGGGCGAGAAGCCATTCCTGTGCCCAATGTGTGGGAAGGCATTTGCACATTCACCACATCTTCAGAGTCATCAGAGAACACACACGGGCGAGAAGCCGTTCTTGTGCTCTGTGTGTGGGAAGACATTTGCACACTCGTCAACTCTTCAAGATCATAAGAAAACGCACACGGGCGAGAAGCCATTCCTGTGCCCAATGTGTGGGAAGGCATTTGCACAGTCATCAACTCTTCAAACTCATCAAAGAACACACACGGGGGTGAAGCCATTCCTGTGCTCTGTGTGTGGGAAGGCATTTGCACACTCATCAACCATGAACAGGCATCAGAAGGTCCACAATGATAGGACACTGAAATCAAAAGCTGAAATTCAAGGTGCTGCAATTAGTCCTGAAGATGTTTCCAACTTCGATCCCATGCAGTTGGATCCCGAGAGATGGCTGGATGTAATGGAGTGGCTCGAGAGTCAACCAGAGAGCTCGGGGTGACTGAAACATAATATTGCATGTGGTTACACCTATTACGCCATATCGAGTACTTTTGTGCGTAATTTTTTACCATTTTAGTTTAACAGTTTTTGTGAGTTTAATTACGTGCACAGTGGTGGTTTGTAATGTTATCAGATTACTTGCCGAAGTGGTGTGAAGAGCACTGGATGTGAGAGGGTTTAATTGTAGTCGTTAGGTGTTCCTGTTGAGCTAAAGTTGGAATGCGCCTGTAGGTACATCTTTACTCAACATTTTAAACGGTTTTTTCAAGTACATAGCTTTTTTATTGGTATTAATCGACTTTAGATAGCCGATTTCAGGATGTACATTGATGTGGTGAACTAAATAGGAAATCATGGGGAATTATATTTTAACGCTTTGGTATTCCTAGAACGGAAATGGTTTGCATTGTACTGGAAATGTGTGAACATAGAACATAATACATATTCCCTTCGAGTTTTGACGTAAGAATAATTGCAGATGAATAAAAATGTATTTTGAACAAATGTTTGTACGGTCTTTATTTTATAATGTCCCTAGCAAAAACATGTTCAGATAATGTCAGGTGGAGGATCTCCGTCACACAAGTGTGCCCTTAACCGGCAGCATCTTGGCTGTCTACCCGATTAAACACGTGTTCCTTGAGGGGAAAGGTCCCCGTAGTTAATCGTTCATCAACGTACCAGTCCCTAATCCCGAAGTATGTCGGGGATAAACTGTACTCTATAACATGTAAACTGTAATACTATAAACGATAACGCTCAAATCTCAGCTCAGATAGGATCATCTCAATTATTTCCATAGACGTGTGGGGTCCCACGAGAGCACTGTTATATACGCAGCATGTTGGTGTGGGACATATTAAACATTAGGTTCGCGTTTTAACGTAAAAATGATTGCAAGATGAATAAAAACGTATTTTTAACAAATGTTTGTCCCTTATTTATTTTACAATGTTCATAGCAAAAACATGTTAAGAGAATTTCAGGTGGAAGATCTCCGTCGCACAAGTGTGCCCTTAACCGGCAGCATCTTGTTTCAAATGTTATCGCAGTAAACAATTCGGACCACAGCACAGCAGGACACTCAATCTCGAGCATCTGCGAAGCAACGATATGAGTGGGCTAAGACCTGCAAGTTTATTCGAGTGTTGACGTTATTTTAGCTATATAGTTAAGTACATGTACGTGATAAGAATTCGTCGACATGGCCTGTGTCTTGTTCTCCTTAATCAACCAAAATTATGACAAATTATGTCATAAATGAGTGTGAGCTAATTCTTCGGTAGTATTCGCTAAACACTGTTGGCACTAACCTACACTAAGTTATGTTTAAACAAAGTCAACTTAAGTCGCTTAAATCTCAGCTCAGGATCATCTCTATTATTTCCATGAACGTGTGGGGTCCCACGAGAGCAGGGCCGGCCACAAACATTCGGGCAGCAGTTGGAGCAGAAGCAGAAGTCGCTGCTTTGCCATCGAACGGTTTCGTAGCTGCTGTAGTTGCTTCTGTTACTGTTATATCGGCAGCTTGATGGTGTCCCGTGATGGGATAACGCCTTTGATCAAAAACTATGATCGAACCTACCAGACCAACGCCATCGATCGACGTCTTGGATATACTCTCACATTGTAAATTCTCACACGGTGAACTTTAACATTATGAACTTCAACAATCGTAACTTAAAAACATTCACATATACATTTGAATAATCTAAAAATTACTGTAAACTAGTATTGTTAGTAAACTCTAAATTTGTGAACTCTAACAATATAACCTATGAACTACAACCTATCAATTGTAACGCTGTAAACGAATATAGACGCACAGTGAACAAATGTGGTGAACTAATAAAGAAATCATGGGGAATGATACTTTAACGCTTTGGTATTCTTGGAACGGAAATGGTTTGCATTGTACTGGAAATGTGTGAACATAGGACGTAATAAATATTCCCTTCGAGTTTTGATGTAAAAATGATTGCAGGTGAATAAAAACTTATTTTTAACAAATGTTGTCAGTTCTTTATTTTATAATGTTCCTAGCAAAAACATGTTCAGAGAATTTCAGGTGGATGATCTCCGTCACACAAGTGTGCCCTTAACCGGCAGCATCTTGGCTGTCTACACGATTAACACGTGTTCCTTGAGGGGAAAGGTCCCCGTAGTTAATCGTTCATCAACGTACCAGTCCCTAATCCCGAAGTATGTCGGGGATAAACGGTACTCTATAACATGTAAACTGTAATACTATAAACGATAGTGTTTTAATTTATAACCATATACACGGAGGTAAGGTATTATATATCATTAGAATAATTAGAATCACAGTGTGGTCGTATAAGAATCGCTAATATGTTTGTATAGTGTACGTGCAAGGATCGGATAAAAAATATTACAATTACAACATGGTCATATTACTATCACGATTTTCACTGCTAGATGTCATCGAATAACAAAAGACGAAATATATTTATATAAATACACGCACAACCCCATCATAAACTCATGAGATTATGAATCGTTATAAGTAATATAACAATCACAAATTGTGACAAAGCGAAATTCCCACAAGCAAAACACCACGCTCACGTGACGAATTCTTAAACAAACTGCAACACTCAAGTGACAGAACTAAACAAAAAAAACGCCGCAATAAAAAAACAACATCAATGGGCAAGTCCTAAAAACAGACAACACACGCACGTTAGTAGCTGTTAGAAGAAGACAACACCTAGCACCTTCAACTATACACATCATACAGCCAACTCGTAAATGGGAAGGTATATGACAGCCTTCGCTGCTGTCGACGGGGCCAAGCAGCGAGTGTTTAACTCCATTGTTTCAGAATCCGTGTCATCACCCGGCCACAGCGCCTTAGCCAAACTACATCTCCCCAACAAGGCAGCCTTCCCTATGCTGTGTATTTTAGCAGTTTATTTACGGACGCACGTGAAGATAACAATTCGTCTAGAAAAGGCAGGCGACTTGTTCTACCAACATGATTTCAATTTACATCCGAAAGTTCATTCATGAGCAGTATTCACTAAGCCCCAATAGCACTCACCTACACACAGTTATGATTAAACAAAGTAAACATTAGTCGCTCATCCCAGCTCAGACATGATCATAGCAATTATTTCCAAATCCGTGTCGGGTCCCACGAGAACAGGGCACGTTCACAAACTCTCAAATTGTAAACTCACATTGCATACTCTAACATTATAAACTCTAACAATGTAACCTTTAAAACTATGAGCTATACATTGTAACGCTTTAAAATAACACTACAAACTAGTGTTATAGTAAACTATAATGTTGTGAACTCTAACAATATAAGCTAACAGCGATACATTATAACGCTATAAAATAACATCATAAACAAGTGTGATATTCGAATCTCATTCGAATTCTTTGCTTCACACCGTGGTCCTCTAAGAATCACACTATGCTCGTGAGTATGTAACATGTCTGTATGTAATATGCATGAATGTAATATGTATGTATGTAACATGTCTATATGTAATATGTATGCATGAGATATGTCTCTATGTAGTATGTATGCATGTAACATGTATGTATGTAATATGGACGTGCGAACCAAGGGTGGGATATGTGAAGCGGAAGGTGCAGGATCAGGATGGGATTAAAATTATTTGAATAACACTTTGGAGGTATTAGGATCAAGCTGTCTACTATTGGATGAATGTTCCATCTCAATGGCATCAAATATCAATATTCAGTATGAATATGTAAAATAATCGCACAAACCCAATATTAGCCCGTGAAATAATGAATCGTTACAAGTGTAATGACTCCGGACTCAGACTGCAGAGGGTTCTTTTATTTAGCCTTTAACGCGGTTTCAGACCCCAGGCGTCACGATGTCGCAACGACGACGACGAGACAGCAACCAGCCAACACAGCCCCAAACCTCGTTCCTCCCCCTCTCTCATTCTCGGCGTGAACCTCCGACCACACTTGGTCTCGCCTTCCCTTCTCGAACTCTCTCTATCTTGTTGTCACCACTTGTCCCTTAGTTGACGCATTGTCTTTACATCACCCACCTCTATGACCTCTACCTGTCCCCGCCATGGGCGGAGCAACTTGAATTTTCCCGGTGGCACCTGTGGGCAATACAACCATGCCCTGTCCCCCACTGCCCATGGAAGCACGTGTTCCCGCCGCCCCGAGTTCTTTTCATTAGCGGATTGCGCTCTGGTGGGGAAAGGTCCTCGTTATGAATCGTTTCGCAACGTTCAGGTCCAGAATACCGAAGTATACCGGGAATCACCTGTACTTAAAAACATGTAAACTGATAACACTATAAACAATAACACTAAACATTAAACGACAAAAAAACCTACCAACTGATTTTATAATTTATACCACCATAAACGGAGGTACGGTATTTTAATTTCATTAGAAGTATTATAATGGAACTCTACACATGGTTAATTGTTCGTTCAATCGAACCAACGGTCGGATATGTGAACTGTGGGGGTCGAGGGTAAGAATCGCATTCAAATTTTAGAATGACAATTTTGTCGTATTAGCAAATTACTGTACTTGAATGTATGTTATGTGCAAATGCAAATTGTTAGTCGTAAATGCGAGGGAGGGGTTAAGAGGTGCACGTTTAATCCAGTGTTAACATTTATTTTAGCATCATATTTAATGACACTGTTGTTGATAAGAATTCGTCTGGACATGGCATGTGACTTGTTCTACTCGATCAACCAAAATTAGTACAATGTCGGTCATACAGGAGTGTGATTTCATTCATGAGTAGCATTCACACAACCCCGATGACACTAACCTACCTAAAGTTATGGTTAAACAAAGTAATCTTGAGTGACTTAATTCTCAGCTCAGACATGATCATCGCAATCATTTCCAAAGACGTGTGGGGTCCTGCGAGAGCAGGTCCTGACTACAAACAGCTGGGCAGCAGAATCGGAAGTAGCTGCGTCGCCCTCGAAATGTGATGGGTTTCACTCCCTCGTTGAGAAGGCCGCTCTCTTCCTTTTCTAAAGTTACATGCTAATTTCTCTGCATTCACTTTAAATCGAGGACAATGTTTTTCCATTTATTCAAAATAAGCGCACAATTACACACTGAGATGCACTTACATATTCATGCATGAAGCACAATGGGCACATTACCCTTCGGTATGTTAATCTACATGCGGATTGTGCCTTCCAAAATTAACAATCGAATGCAAATATCCTGAAAGACAAAGGATTTGATCCTAGGCGGGGAGTTATAAGACGGCTCAGAAGCAGAGCTCAATGCCATTTCGAGAGGGAACTTGATGAGGTTGGACGCTCGACTCGTCGCTCTGCTGATCGCCCTTCAACCGCGAGACAACGCAGCCTGGCGAGCACAATTGCTGTGTCGACAGTTAGGCGACTTTGCATCGGGAGAGTTCGTGGCGACATCTTTAGACGGGTTCCAGACATCGATCTACCGTGAATCTCCAAGTAAGTGTCTATTTTCGCGGATAAACTCTTAAACGTGTTCGTCGTCAAATTAGCGGTATTTTTTTGCGTCTCGGTTAGACGCGAGTGTCGTTCTTGTTTTAGCAGTTTAAAAAATCCAAAACTCCTTTCGGCCGATAGCGTACTTTTGACTCAATAACACCGCTGCTGTTGCTACGCTCACATGGAGCAGAGACGCTCTCCACAGCCCCACGCACACTGAGGCAAGAAGCCATTCAATTGCTCTGTGTGTGAGAAGTCCTTTTCACGGCCATCACATTTTAAGAGACACCAAAGAACACACACGGGCGAGAAGCCGTTCCTGTGTTCTGTGTGTGGGAAGACATTTGCACAGTCATCACATCTTCAGAGTCATCAGAGAACACACACGGGCGAGAAGCCATTCCTGTGCTCTGTGTGTGGGGAGGCCTTTACACGGGCATCAACTCTTCAAACTCATCAGAAAACACATACGGGCGAGAAGCCATTCCTGTGCCCTGTGTGTGGTAAGACATTTGCACAGTCGTCAACTCTTAAGAACCATCAGAGAACACACACGGGCGAGACGCCATTCCTGTGCCCTGTGTGTGGGAAGGCATTTGTACGGTCATCAACCATGAACAGGCATCAGAAGGTCCACAATGATAGGAAACTGAAATCAAAAGCTGAAATTCAAGGTGCTGCAATGAGTCCTGAAGAAGTTTCCACCCTCGATCCCATGCAGTTGGATCCCGAGAGATGGCTGGAAGTAATGGAGTGGCTCGAGGATCAAACCGAGAGCTCGGGGTGACTGAAACATAATATTGCATGTGGTTACACCTATTAAGCCATATCGAGTACTTTTGTGCGTTATTTTTACCATTTTAGTTTTACAGTTTTTGTGAGTTTAATTACGTGCACAGTGGTGGTTTGTAATGTTATCGGATTACTTGCCGAAGTGGTGTGAAGTGCACTGGTTGTGAGAGGGTTCAATTGTAGTCGTTAAGTGTTCCTGTTGAGCTAAAGTTGGAATGCGTCTGTAGGTACATCTTTACTCAACATTTTAAACGTTTTTTTTCAAGTATAAAGCTGTTTTTATTGGTATTAATCGACTTTAGATAGCCGATTTCAGGATGTACATTGATGACGCGTTCGTTGGATATATGGCCTTGACTTCAACATAGACGCACAGTGAACAAATGTGGTGAACTAATAAGGAAATCATGGGGAATGATCCTTTAACGCTTTGGTATTCCTGGAACGGAAATGGTTTGCATTGCACTGGAAATGTAATAAATATTCGGTTCGAGTTTTGACGTAAAAATTATTGCAGATTAATAAAACGTATTTTTTACAAATGTTTGTCTGGTCTTTATTTTATAATGTTCCTAGCAAAAACATGTTAATATAATTTCAGGTGGAGGATCTCCGTCACACAAGTGTGCCCTTAACCGGCAGCATCTTGGCTGTCTACCCGATTAACACGTGTTCCTTGAGGGGAAAGGTCCCCGTAGTTAATCGTTCATCAACGTACCCGTCACTAATCCCGAAGTATGTCGGGGATAAACTGTACTCTATAACATGTAAACTGTAATACTATAAACGATACCACTAAACATTTAACGTTTATAAACTCATAACCATATACACGGAGGTAAGGTATTATAATATCATTAGAATCACAGTGTGGTCGTATAAGAATCACGCACAAACCCATTATAAACCTATGAGATTATGAATCGTTACAATTATTATAACAATCACAAATTGTGACGACTAGTGGGATTCGAATAATTGGAATTCGATTCATATTCTTAGGTTTTTTCGGTAAAGTCACGTAGGTAAAAACATTAAAAAATAAAATAAAAATCACGACGTTTCGGAGGCAACACAAGCTTCCGTCTTCAGGTGGTACCGTCACAGCCACGACAGCTGTATCAAGTAAATGAGAGATTGCAGGAGCTACCACTCCGTTTATATAATGGTTGGAGAAGGTGGTGGGGAAGACGGAGTGGTAGCTCCTGCAATTTCTCATTTACTTGATACAGCTGTCGTGGCTGTGACGGTACCACCTGAAGACGGAAGCTTGTGTTGCCTCCGAAACGTCGTGATTTTTATTTTATTTTTTAATGTTTTTACCTACGTGACTTTACCGAAAAAACCTAAGAATATGAATCATTGCAGTCACGAAAGCTTCAAATCTAGAATGTAATTCGATTCTAATCCTGCATATCCTATACCCGGTTCGCATATTCACTTACCATACATACGACAACAGTATGATTGTAATTTGAGCACAGTGCGATTCTAATTATTCTTATGCGATTAAAATCCCACTATAACAGTTAATAGTATGTTACAGCGTTCATAGGTTGTAATATTGCGTTTCACTATGTTAGAACTTAACATGTGAGAGCTTACAACTATCAGAGTTGATCAAATGCGACGATCAAAGGTAAGTTTGATCAGAGTCTTTGATCAAAGGCGTCATCTCATCAAGGAACACCACCTCCCTGCGTATATAACAGCAACAGAAGCGAGTTCATTCATGAGTAGTATCCACTTAGCCCCGATAACACTAACCTACACACACAGTTATGGTTAAACAAAGTCATCTTTAGCCACTTAATTCTCAGCTCAAACATGATCATTACAATAATTTCCAACGACGTGTGGGGTCCCGCGAGAGCAGGGCCCGGCTACAAAATAGGCGCTGAAATGAGTCCTGAAGAAGATTCCACCTTCGAGCCCATGAAGTTGGATCCCGAGAGATGGCTGGATGTAATGGAGTCGCTCGAAAGTCAAATCTAAAGCAACGGATAACTGAAATTATTTTGAGTTTGGTGAGACCTATTAAGCCACATTGTGTGCAATTGTGTATGTTTTAGACCAAGCAATACGTTACAATTGATGTATCAGTGATTTTGATACTCGAGTTTTGCAGTTTGTTAGAATATTTCGTCACGTGCAGTTGGTGGTTTGTGATATCGAATTACTTGCTGAAGTGGTGCGAGGAGCAGTGTTTGTGAGACCGTGCAATTCCTGACAATATTGTCGTGGTCAAGTGTTCCTGTTGGAATGAGTCTGTTGTTACAACTTTACTCGATATATTTTACTTGTTTTTTCCTTCATATCGCTTTTTTGGATGGTAATACGCGACTTTAGATAACTGATTTCAGGATTCCACCTTCGATCGTATTTAAATCACACTCTGCGCATATGTATGTATAGTGGACGTGCAAGCAAACTGTGCTCGTATGTATGTTATATGCATCTATGGCCTTTGGACATGCGAACCGGTGGTCGGTGCAGGATTATGATCGGATTAAAATGATTAGAATATCACTTTGGTAGTATTAGAATTACACTGAGCTAGAATGTATGTTAAATGTAGATGCACATCGGGAGTCGTTAATGCGGCCTGGGTGGTGCCAGATTTAGAATCGCATCAAAATTATTAAAATCGCACCATGGTCGTATTAGAATCAAGCTGCCCACTGCTGGTAGAATGTTCCATCGCAATGGCACCGAATAGCAATATACAGCATTGATATTGGGCATGGAGCCTTCAAACAAAACCTTGCGCATTTTGACCTGGTTCTCGACGCCCGTCCCGCGCCCATGGTAGAATCTTGTGCATGTCGGGGCGTCAAGGGTTCGCACCACAGCCTTGAAGGATTAGGCAGGTCCCTGGCTTCTTTTGAAGAATGTGACCAGGCTCCAGGCACCGGTTCCTCGCACGTGGCGGATCCTTGAGGCACCCCGGGCCTCTGGGGCTCGGAAACTGTGGGCGCCACAACACATTTCATTTGGAGTACGGTTTCCGTTGCCGAGCGCCCCACCACGTTGGACACACCAGACTTGGGCTGTACAGGACATGGGGATGAGCTGTCTGGGTGGGGACGGACATAACTACATGGGCACACACTGCGGCCATTTCACCTCTATGACTTCTACCTGTCGCCGCCGTGGGCGGAGCAACTTGGTGTACGTACCCGGTGTCACCTTTGGGCAACACAACCTGTCTACGACCGCCCATGGAAGCACGTGTTCCCGCCGCCCCGTGTTCTTTTAATTAGCGGCTTGCTAATCGTTTCACAACGTTCTGGTCCCGAAACCCGAAGTATACGGGGGATCACCTGTACTCTATAACATGTAAACTGATAACACTATGAACAATAACACTAAACATTAAACGACTTTATTTTTTTTATAATAGATTCCACCATAAACGGAGTTACGGTATGAGAATGTCATTGGAAGCATTTTAATCGCTCATATGTATGTAAAGTGTAGGTTCAATCGAATCGGGGGACGGATACGCGAACTGTGGGGGTTTGCAGGGTTAGAATCGAATTAAAATTATTCTAGTAACAATATGTTCGTATGCGCATTTTACTGTGCTTGAATATATGTTATGTGCAAATGCGAATCGTTAGTCATAAATGCTAGGCAGGGTTTAAAATGTGCATGTTTAATCCAGTGTTAACGTTAATCCAGTGTTAGCATTATTTTTAAGGACAATATTGTTAATATCAATTCGTCTGGACATGGCACGTGCCTTGTTCGTCTCGATCAACCAAAATTAGTACAATGTCGGTCATAAATGTGTGCGAGTTCATTCATAAGCAGTGTTCGCTGATCCCCGATGACACAGACCTACACACAAAGTACTCTTTGTTAAATTAACTATCAGCTCAGACATCATCATCTCAATCATTTACAAAGACGTGTGGGGTCCCGCGAGAGCAGGGCCTGGCAACAAATATCTGAGCAGCGGAAGCAGCAGAATCAGAAGTAGCTGCGTCGCCCTCGAAATGTGATGTTGCTGCTGCTGTATTTGTTTCTGCGTCGATCAAGATTGACGCTCTTGATCAACTCTGACATTGTAGACTCTCACATGTTAAACTCTAACATAGTGAAATATAATATTACAACCTATGAACTACAACCTATCCATTGTTACGCTTTAAAATACGATTAACTGTTATAGTGCAGAACCACATAATTGGAGGTGTGTGATTATAATCGCATACTAATCATTAGAATCGCACTGAGCTAATTAGAATCACACTGTGGTTGTACGTATGGTAAGTTAATATGACAACCGGTGGTAGGATATGCAGGATTAGAATCGAATTACAATTATTCGAATCCCACTCGTATTAGAATCACACTTTCCACTGTTGGATGAATGTGTCGTATCAATGGAATCGAATAGCCATATAAGTATATACAGTATACACAAATAAAGAGTATAACAATCACACATTGTAACATAGATACAAGAAACATTATTTAAAAAACGTATTTACAAATATATATTCCACTTTTTTTTAAACTCAGAATGTCGTCGTTCATGTGGGGAGATGGAGCGCAGTGGATCGTATCGTCTAAGCTGCTTTTAGGAATCCGTGTGATAACCCAGTCACATCGCCTAACTCCAGTTGCAGCGCCTTACCCAAGCTACATCTCCCCAACAAGGCAGCCTTCCCGCTGCTGTGTATTATGTTCATGGGATAACAGAGGTGTGTATTTTCCCATACGCCTTGCCCAAAAAGACTGATTGTCCGCTTAACAGCCTAGCCCATAAACCACCATTGGTGACAGTGTTGTTTGAGAGCAGCTATTAAAGTCGCTGCAGCAAACGAGGTGGTGGCTGGCCAAACCATGCCTCGTGTTTGTCTCCGGAGTTATGACGGATACAAACCAGACCAAGCGGAGACCATGTACCAGATCGGATTTTGGTTACTGATGTTAGAGTGATTGTATTGCAAGTGTGGTCACTACGCTTCTGTACGTGCTCACTCCCGAAGCTCGGCGATTTTTGGCAACGCCACGGGGCTGCATTCACTTTAAATCGAGGACAATGGAGGGCATGGGGAACGTGTTTTTTCAGCGCTAATCCCATTTATTCAAAATAAGCGCACAATTACACACTGAGATGCACGTACATATTCATGCATGAAGCACAATGGACACATTACTCTTCGGTATGTTAATAGACATGCGGATTGTACCTTCCAAAATTAACAATCGAATGCAAATATCCTGAAAGACAAAGGATTGGATCCTAGGGGGGGAGTTATAAGGCGGCTCAGAAGCAGAGCTCAATGCCATTTCGAGAGGGAACTTGATGAGGTTGGACGCTCGACTCGTCACTCTGCTGATCGCCCTTCAACCGCGAGACAACGCAGCCTGGCGAGCACAATTGCTGTGTCGACACTTAGGCGACTTTGCGTCGGGAGAGTTCGTGGCGACATCTTCAGACGGGTTCCAGACATCGAAATACCGTGAATCTCCAAGTAAGTGTCTATTTTCGCGGATAAACTCTTAAACGTGTTCGTCGTCAAATTAGTGGGATTTTTTTGTGCCTCGGTTAGACGCGAGTGTCGTTCTTGTTTTAGCAGTTAGCAAAATCCAAAACTCAACGCTAAACATCCTTGCGGCCGATAGCGTACTTTTGACTCGATAACACCGCTGCTGTTACTACGCTCACATGGAGCAGAGACGCTCTCCACAGCCCCACGCACACGGAGGCAAGAAGCAATTCAATTGCTCTGTGTGTGGGAAGGCATTTTCAAGGCCATCAACTCTTCAAAGTCACCAGAGAACACACACGGGCGAGAGGCCGTTCCTGTGTTCTGTGTGTGGGAAGGCATTTGCACGGTCATCACATCTTCAGAGTCACCAGAGAACACACACGGGCGAGAAGCCATTCCTGTGCCCTGTGTGTGGGAAGAAATTTGCACAGTCATCACATCTTCAGAGTCACCAGAGAACACACACGGGCGAGAAGCCATTCCTGTGCCCTGTGTGTGGGAAGAAATTTGCACAGTCATCAACTCTTCAGAGTCATCAGAGAACACATACGGGCGAGAAGCCATTCCTGTGCCCTGTGTGTGGGAAGACGTTTGCACACTCGTCACATCTTCAGAGTCATCGGAGAACACACACGGGCGAGAAGCCATTCCTGTGCCCTGTGTGTGGGAAGACGTTTGCACACTCGTCACATCTTCAGCGTCACCAGAGAACACACACGGGCGAGAAGCCATTCTTGTGCCCTGTGTGTGGGAAGGCATTTGCACGGTCATCAACCATGAACAGGCACCAGAAGGTCCACAATGATAGGAAACTGAAATCAAAAGCTGAAATTCAAGGTGCTGCAATGAGTCCTGAAGATAATTCCACCTTCGATCCCATGCAGTTGGATCCCGAGAGATGGCTGGATGTAATGGAGTGGCTCGAGAGTCAACCAGAGAGCTCGGGGTGACTGAAAAAATATTACGTCATGTGGCTATACCTTTTTAATCCGTATCGAGTACTTTTGTGTGTTATTTTGACCATTTTAGTTTTACAGTTTTTGTGAGTTTAATGACGTGCCCAGTGGTGGTTTGTAATGTTATGGGATTACTTGCCGAAGTGGTGTGATGAGCACTCGTTGTGAGAGGGTTCTATTGTAGTCGCGAAGTGTTCCTGTTGAGCTAAAGTTGGAATGCGTCTGTAGGTACATCTTTACTCAACATTTTAAACGTTTTAGTTTTCAAGTATATGGCTTTTTTTGATTGGTATTAATCAACTTTAGATAGCCGATTTCAGGATGTGCATTGACGACCCGTTCGTTGGATATATGGCCTTGACTTCAACAAAGACGCACAGTGAACAAATGTGGTGAACTAATAAGGAAATCATGGGGAATGATCCTTTAACGCTTTTGTATTCCTGGAACGGAAATGATTTGCATTGTACTGTAACTGTTTGAACATAGGACATAATAAATATTCGGTTACAATTTTAACGTCAACATTATTGCAGATGAATAAAAACGTATTTTGAACAAATGTTTGTCCGTTCTTTATTTTAAAATGTTAATAGTAAAAACGTGTTAAGCGAGTTTCAGGTGGAGGATCTCCGTCACACAAGTGTGCTGTCTACCCGATTAAACACGTGTTCCTTGAGGGGAAAGGTCCCCGTTGTTAATCGTTTCTCAACCTACCATTCCCTAATCCCGAAGTATGCCGGGGATACACTGTACTCTATAACATGTAAACTGTAACACTATAAACGAAAACACTAAACATTAAACGATTATAAACTAGTGTTTAAATTTAGAACCATATAAACGGAGGTAAGGTATTATTATGTCATTAGAAGCATTAGAATCGGTGTGGTCGTATTAGAATCACACTCTGCTCATATGTATCTATGGTCTACGTGCAAGGATCGGATACAATTATTAAAATTACAACACGGTCGTATTACAATCACGATTTTCACTGCTAGATGAAGGTCTCATCTCTATGTCATCGAATAGCAATAGACGGAATATTTATATATACGTCATAAATGAGTGAGCTAATTCTTCGGTAGTATTCGCTACACACCGATTGCACTAACCTACACTAAGTTATGTTTAAACAAAGTAAACTTTAGTCGCTCAAATGTCAGCTTAATTAGGATAATCGCAATTGTTTCCATAGACGTGTGGGGTCCCACGAGAGCAGAGTCGGCGTGCAAACAGCCGGGCAGCAGTTGGAGCAGAAGCAGAAGTCGCTGCTTTGCCATCGAACGGTTTCGTAGCTGCCGTAGTTGCTTCTGTTACTGTTATATACGCAGCATATTGGTGTCCCGTAAGAGGATAACGGCTTATATATAAAAAAAATAACGCTGATCAAACCTACCAGATCAACGCTCTCGATCGACGCCTTTGGTATTCTCTTACATTCAGGGGCGGTTTCTTCATTAGGGCGATTGGGCGACGCACCACCAATGTCATTCAACCACAGAGTCACTCTAGCCGTCACTGTCAGCCTCTGGATATAGTTCAATCAGCGTCATGTCATGTTCTGTGGAGTACCGCCTCTTTTTGGGCGATTTCACTGCGGCTGAGAATCGCCCCGAGTGGCCCCATAGACTTACATTCAAAGATGTTTTTTTTTCGAACGGGGGCGCTGCAATGCATTCTCTATGGCTTCCGGGAGGGCATGCACTAACGTGCTTACGTCATCATACGTGCTAACGTCATCATACGTAAGCACGTTTCATCCAACAATATAATTTATCGCCACCTAGTGGAATCTTTAATAAAATAAACTTGAGTGGTTTGTTTTAATAGTGAGTATATAAACAAACAAGATGTATTGTAAGAGTCACTTTATTTTTCATTAATATTAAAGAAGTGAAGTTGCCTTTACATGCTTAAGCTGTTAATTTATTCATTGCATGGGTGGACCTTATCCTTATCAATAATCCAGACATTTGCCCCCTGAGAGATTTTGCAGGAGCCGCCACTGCTTACATTGTTAACTCTCACACTGTGAACTTTAACATTATGAATTCCAACAATATAAATTAAACATTACCATATACATTTGAAGAATATACAAAATACTGTAAACTATTGTTATAGTAAACTCTAACAATATAACCTATGAGCTATACATCATAACGCTATACAATAACATTATTAACTAGTGTTATAGATTAGAAAAACCTACATTGAAGTGTGATATTCGAATCGCATTCAAATTATTCGAATCACTCCGTGGTCCTCTTCGAATCAGACTACGGTCGTAAGTATGTAACATGCATGCATGTGTAATGCGGGCGTAAACGGCTTGGCGGATGTGACGTCATGTGGGGAGGAGTCAGGGTCACGTGAGAGGGAGATGGTATAGCGGTGAGACAGGAAGAGATCGAGGGCAGTCGGGGGAGTGAAGGGTGATGAACACGTTGGGTGGTCGCCGTGCCTCAGCCTGGTGGCTGAGGGGCTCATGACGGCGCCAGCCAGCGGGGTGGAAGAGAGTTGGGGATAGAGCTGAGGTTGGAGATGGCGAGATAGCCACAGAGGCCACGCAGGGCTGAGATTGGGGAGTGGCGAGATCGCCACACACGGTAAGACTCGGCACCGCCGGCCAGCGGTGACCGAGCACGGAGGAACAGGGAGCAGCGGTGGAGCTGCTGTGAGAGCAGCCGGAGGGCTGCACCAAGAGCCTGCAGCGGAGCTGCAGAAGCGCGGAAGGCTACGGGAGCGAAGGCAGCTGTGGAGCTGCCAGGCAGAGAGTCTCAGGAGGAGTGCACACGGAGTCAGAGAGAAGCGTCCGAGTCTTTTATTACACTGTTGTCAGAAGTGAAACGGCATCTCAAAACAACTGAGAGAAAGAAAAGAAAAGAATATTCCTGCGCCATCATCTGCTACATCATCCGACGACGACGACCTTCCTCAGACGGTGGACCTGCCTGCGATGGAAGAGGAGATCCGTGCTGGAACGAGTACGGGTCCGGGTGAGCAAGGTGTCGCCGCGTTGGTGGACCTGTCTGTGCCGGAGGACGCCAACTTACGATGGAGACAGATGGCGGCGCAGATGGAGACCTTGAAAATCGTGCTGGCGCAACTGTGTGAGTTCACCACGCCGAGGACGGCGTCGGGGAGGCCCGGTGGTGATCCGCAGGCCTCCGCCTTTCCTGCGCTGCCAGCGCCATCTGCCACGTGGCACGAAGATGCCATCTTGGGCGTGGCAGGGGAGAAACGGCGGGAAGCAGCAGCAACAACTGCAACAGCAGCAGCAACAACAGCAGCAACAAAAACGCAACAGCAACAACTGCAGCAACTGCAGCAGCAACAACTGCAACAGCAACAACTGCAACACCTTCAGAGATGCTGCGTCCTGCGGCACCATCCAGGCGAAGAAATGAAGAGCAGAGCCCGAATCACATTACATACATACGAGCACAGTTCACATGCCCGTACACTATTACACATATGTAGAGAAGTTCCCAGGACGCACTCGGAGACGAATGTGAGGTTTAAGGGCTGTCGCCGAGGGTTTATTAAAGTTATTGACATACACCAGGTGTACCAACTTCCCAGGGGTGAGGGGTGCCGGGCTCGGTTCCACTGGTCCCCCCGACACAGTCGGCTGCCCCGTGCTGCCTCCTCTGCGCCGGCCGTGGGCTCGGCCAACACGGCCGGCCGAGGAGCGCAGCCACCTCCAGCCCTGGCGCTGCGCTCTTTCCTATCCCGACTCCCTTGCCCCTGGCTCCCCGTTCCACCTGACTCCGAGCCCCGACTTCTGCACAGACCCCATGTTGTTGCTGCTTAATATGACCAGACTCCAGGCACCGGTTCCTCGCACGTGGCGGATCCTTGAGGCACACCGGGCCTCTGGGGCTCGGAAACTGTGGGCGCCACAACACATTTCCTTTTGGCGTACGGTTTCCCTTGCCGAGAGCCCCACCACGTTGGACACACCAGACTTGGGCTGTACAGGACATGGGGATGAGCTGTCTGGGTGTGGACGGACATAACTACATGCGTACACACTGCGGCCATTTCACCTCTATGACTTCTACCTGTCGCCGCCGTGGGCGGAGCAACTTGGTGGACGTACCCGGTGTCACCTTTGGGCAACACAACCTGTCTACGACCGCCCATGGAAGCACGTGTTCCCGCCGCCCCGTGTTCTTTTAATTAGCGGCTTGCTAATCGTTTCACAACGTTCTGGTCCCGAAACCCGAAGTATACGGGGGATCACCTGTACTCTATAACATGTAAACTGATAACACTATGAACAATAACACTAAACATTAAACGACTTTATTTTTTTTATAATAGATTCCACCATAAACGGAGTTACGGTATGAGAATGTCATTGGAAGCATTTTAATCGCTCATATGTATGTAAAGTGTAGGTTCAATCGAATCGGGGGACGGATACGCGAACTGTGGGGGTTTGCAGGGTTAGAATCGAATTAAAATTATTCTAGTAACAATATATTCGTATGCGCATTTTACTGTGCTTGAATATATGTTATGTGCAAATGCGAATCGTTAGTCATAAATGCTAGGCAGGGTTTAAAATGTGCATGTTTAATCCAGTGTTAACGTTAATCCAGTGTTAGCATTATTTTTAAGGACAATATTGTTAATATCAATTCGTCTGGACATGGCACGTGCCTTGTTCGTCTCGATCAACCAAAATTAGTACAATGTCGGTCATAAATGTGTGCGAGTTCATTCATAAGCAGTGTTCGCTGATCCCCGATGACACAGACCTACACACAAAGTACTCTTTGTTAAATTAACTATCAGCTCAGACATCATCATCTCAATCATTTACAAAGACGTGTGGGGTCCCGCGAGAGCAGGGCCTGGCAACAAATATCTGAGCAGCGGAAGCAGCAGAATCAGAAGTAGCTGCGTCGCCCTCGAAATGTGATGTTGCTGCTGCTGTATTTGTTTCTGCGTCGATCAAGATTGACGCTCTTGATCAACTCTGACATTGTAGACTCTCACATGTTAAACTCTAACATAGTGAAATATAATATTATAACCTATGAACTACAACCTATCCATTGTTACGCTTTAAAATACGATTAACTGTTATAGTGCAGAACCACATAATTGGAGGTGTGATTATAATCGCATACTAATCATTAGAATCGCACTGAGCTAATTAGAATCACACTGTGGTTGTACGTATGGTAAGTTAATATGACAACCGGTGGTAGGATATGCAGGATTAGAATCGAATTACAATTATTCGAATCCCACTCGTATTAGAATCACACTTTCCACTGTTGGATGAATGTGTCGTATCAATGGAATCGAATAGCCATATAAGTATATACAGTATACACAAATAAAGAGTATAACAATCACACATTGTAACATAGATACAAGAAACATTATTTAAAAAACGTATTTACAAATGTATATTCCACTTTTTTTTAAACTCAGAATGTCGTCGTTCATGTGGGGAGATGGAGCGCAGTGGATCGTATCGTCTAAGCTGCTTTTAGGAATCCGTGTGATAACCCAGTCACATCGCCTAACTCCAGTTGCAGCGCCTTACCCAAGCTACATCTCCCCAACAAGGCAGCCTTCCCGCTGCTGTGTATTATGTTCATGGGATAACAGAGGTGTGTATTTTCCCATACGCCTTGCCCAAAAAGACTGATTGTCCGCTTAACAGCCTAGCCCATAAACCACCATTGGTGACAGTGTTGTTTGAGAGCAGCTATTAAAGTCGCTGCAGCAAACGAGGTGGTGGCTGGCCAAACCATGCCTCGTGTTTGTCTCCGGAGTTATGACGGATACAAACCAGACCAAGCGGAGACCATGTACCAGATCGGATTTTGGTTACTGATGTTAGAGTGATTGTATTGCAAGTGTGGTCACTACGCTTCTGTACGTGCTCACTCCCGAAGCTCGGCGATTTTTGGCAACGCCACGGGGCTGCATTCACTTTAAATCGAGGACAATGGAGGGCATGGGGAACGTGTTTTTTCAGCGCTAATCCCATTTATTCAAAATAAGCGCACAATTACACACTGAGATGCACGTACATATTCATGCATGAAGCACAATGGACACATTACTCTTCGGTATGTTAATAGACATGCGGATTGTACCTTCCAAAATTAACAATCGAATGCAAATATCCTGAAAGACAAAGGATTGGATCCTAGGGGGGGGAGTTATAAGGCGGCTCAGAAGCAGAGCTCAATGCCATTTCGAGAGGGAACTTGATGAGGTTGGACGCTCGACTCGTCACTCTGCTGATCGCCCTTCAACCGCGAGACAACGCAGCCTGGCGAGCACAATTGCTGTGTCGACACTTAGGCGACTTTGCGTCGGGAGAGTTCGTGGCGACATCTTCAGACGGGTTCCAGACATCGAAATACCGTGAATCTCCAAGTAAGTGTCTATTTTCGCGGATAAACTCTTAAACGTGTTCGTCGTCAAATTAGTGGGATTTTTTTGTGCCTCGGTTAGACGCGAGTGTCGTTCTTGTTTTAGCAGTTAGCAAAATCCAAAACTCAACGCTAAACATCCTTGCGGCCGATAGCGTACTTTTGACTCGATAACACCGCTGCTGTTACTACGCTCACATGGAGCAGAGACGCTCTCCACAGCCCCACGCACACGGAGGCAAGAAGCAATTCAATTGCTCTGTGTGTGGGAAGGCATTTTCAAGGCCATCAACTCTTCAAAGTCACCAGAGAACACACACGGGCGAGAGGCCGTTCCTGTGTTCTGTGTGTGGGAAGGCATTTGCACGGTCATCACATCTTCAGAGTCACCAGAGAACACACACGGGCGAGAAGCCATTCCTGTGCCCTGTGTGTGGGAAGAAATTTGCACAGTCATCACATCTTCAGAGTCACCAGAGAACACACACGGGCGAGAAGCCATTCCTGTGCCCTGTGTGTGGGAAGAAATTTGCACAGTCATCAACTCTTCAGAGTCATCAGAGAACACATACGGGCGAGAAGCCATTCCTGTGCCCTGTGTGTGGGAAGACGTTTGCACACTCGTCACATCTTCAGAGTCATCGGAGAACACACACGGGCGAGAAGCCATTCCTGTGCCCTGTGTGTGGGAAGACGTTTGCACACTCGTCACATCTTCAGCGTCACCAGAGAACACACACGGGCGAGAAGCCATTCTTGTGCCCTGTGTGTGGGAAGGCATTTGCACGGTCATCAACCATGAACAGGCACCAGAAGGTCCACAATGATAGGAAACTGAAATCAAAAGCTGAAATTCAAGGTGCTGCAATGAGTCCTGAAGATAATTCCACCTTCGATCCCATGCAGTTGGATCCCGAGAGATGGCTGGATGTAATGGAGTGGCTCGAGAGTCAACCAGAGAGCTCGGGGTGACTGAAAAAATATTACGTCATGTGGCTATACCTTTTTAATCCGTATCGAGTACTTTTGTGTGTTATTTTGACCATTTTAGTTTTACAGTTTTTGTGAGTTTAATGACGTGCCCAGTGGTGGTTTGTAATGTTATGGGATTACTTGCCGAAGTGGTGTGATGAGCACTCGTTGTGAGAGGGTTCTATTGTAGTCGCTAAGTGTTCCTGTTGAGCTAAAGTTGGAATGCGTCTGTAGGTACATCTTTACTCAACATTTTAAACGTTTTAGTTTTCAAGTATATGGCTTTTTTTGATTGGTATTAATCAACTTTAGATAGCCGATTTCAGGATGTGCATTGACGACCCGTTCGTTGGATATATGGCCTTGACTTCAACAAAGACGCACAGTGAACAAATGTGGTGAACTAATAAGGAAATCATGGGGAATGATCCTTTAACGCTTTTGTATTCCTGGAACGGAAATGATTTGCATTGTACTGTAACTGTTTGAACATAGGACATAATAAATATTCGGTTACAATTTTAACGTCAACATTATTGCAGATGAATAAAAACGTATTTTGAACAAATGTTTGTCCGTTCTTTATTTTAAAATGTTAATAGTAAAAACGTGTTAAGCGAGTTTCAGGTGGAGGATCTCCGTCACACAAGTGTGCTGTCTACCCGATTAAACACGTGTTCCTTGAGGGGAAAGGTCCCCGTTGTTAATCGTTTCTCAACCTACCATTCCCTAATCCCGAAGTATGCCGGGGATACACTGTACTCTATAACATGTAAACTGTAACACTATAAACGAAAACACTAAACATTAAACGATTATAAACTAGTGTTTAAATTTAGAACCATATAAACGGAGGTAAGGTATTATTATGTCATTAGAAGCATTAGAATCGGTGTGGTCGTATTAGAATCACACTCTGCTCATATGTATCTATGGTCTACGTGCAAGGATCGGATACAATTATTAAAATTACAACACGGTCGTATTACAATCACGATTTTCACTGCTAGATGAAGGTCTCATCTCTATGTCATCGAATAGCAATAGACGGAATATTTATATATACGTCATAAATGAGTGAGCTAATTCTTCGGTAGTATTCGCTACACACCGATTGCACTAACCTACACTAAGTTATGTTTAAACAAAGTAAACTTTAGTCGCTCAAATGTCAGCTTAATTAGGATAATCGCAATTGTTTCCATAGACGTGTGGGGTCCCACGAGAGCAGAGTCGGCGTGCAAACAGCCGGGCAGCAGTTGGAGCAGAAGCAGAAGTCGCTGCTTTGCCATCGAACGGTTTCGTAGCTGCCGTAGTTGCTTCTGTTACTGTTATATACGCAGCATGTTGGTGTCCCGTAAGAGGATAACGGCTTATATATAAAAAAAATAACGCTGATCAAACCTACCAGATCAACGCTCTCGATCGACGCCTTTGGTATTCTCTTACATTCAGGGGCGGTTTCTTCATTAGGGCGATTGGGCGACGCACCACCAATGTCATTCAACCACAGAGTCACTCTAGCCGTCACTGTCAGCCTCTGGATATAGTTCAATCAGCGTCATGTCATGTTCTGTGGAGTACCGCCTCTTTTTGGGCGATTTCACTGCGGCTGAGAATCGCCCCGAGTGGCCCCATAGACTTACATTCAAAGATGTTTTTTTTTCGAACGGGGGCGCTGCAATGCATTCTCTATGGCTTCCGGGAGGGCATGCACTAACGTGCTTACGTCATCATACGTGCTAACGTCATCATACGTAAGCACGTTTCATCCAACAATATAATTTATCGCCACCTAGTGGAATCTTTAATAAAATAAACTTGAGTGGTTTGTTTTAATAGTGAGTATATAAACAAACAAGATGTATTGTAAGAGTCACTTTATTTTTCATTAATATTAAAGAAGTGAAGTTGCCTTTACATGCTTAAGCTGTTAATTTATTCATTGCATGGGTGGACCTTATCCTTATCAATCATCCAAACATTTGCCCCCCTGAGAGATTTTGCAGGAGCCGCCACTGCTTACATTGTTAACTCTCACACTGTGAACTTTAACATTATGAATTCCAACAATATAAATTAAACATTACCATATACATTTGAAGAATATACAAAATACTGTAAACTATTGTTATAGTAAACTCTAACAATATAACCTATGAGCTATACATCATAACGCTATACAATAACATTATTAACTAGTGTTATAGATTAGAAAAACCTACATTGAAGTGTGATATTCGAATCGCATTCAAATTATTCGAATCACTCCGTGGTCCTCTTCGAATCAGACTACGGTCGTAAGTATGTAACATGCATGCATGTGTAATGCGGGCGTAAACGGCTTGGCGGATGTGACGTCATGTGGGGAGGAGTCAGGGTCACGTGAGAGGGAGATGGTATAGCGGTGAGACAGGAAGAGATCGAGGGCAGTCGGGGGAGTGAAGGGTGATGAACACGTTGGGTGGTCGCCGTGCCTCAGCCTGGTGGCTGAGGGGCTCATGACGGCGCCAGCCAGCGGGGTGGAAGAGAGTTGGGGATAGAGCTGAGGTTGGAGATGGCGAGATAGCCACAGAGGCCACGCAGGGCTGAGATTGGGGAGTGGCGAGATCGCCACACACGGTAAGACTCGGCACCGCCGGCCAGCGGTGACCGAGCACGGAGGAACAGGGAGCAGCGGTGGAGCTGCTGTGAGAGCAGCCGGAGGGCTGCACCAAGAGCCTGCAGCGGAGCTGCAGAAGCGCGGAAGGCTACGGGAGCGAAGGCAGCTGTGGAGCTGCCAGGCAGAGAGTCTCAGGAGGAGTGCACACGGAGTCAGAGAGAAGCGTCCGAGTCTTTTATTACACTGTTGTCAGAAGTGAAACGGCATCTCAAAACAACTGAGAGAAAGAAAAGAAAAGAATATTCCTGCGCCATCATCTGCTACATCATCCGACGACGACGACCTTCCTCAGACGGTGGACCTGCCTGCGATGGAAGAGGAGATCCGTGCTGGAACGAGTACGGGTCCGGGTGAGCAATGTGTCGCCGCGTTGGTGGACCTGTCTGTGCCGGAGGACGCCAACTTACGATGGAGACAGATGGCGGCGCAGATGGAGACCTTGAAAATCGTGCTGGCGCAACTGTGTGAGTTCACCACGCCGAGGACGGCGTCGGGGAGGCCCGGTGGTGATCCGCAGGCCTCCGCCTTTCCTGCGCTGCCAGCGCCATCTGCCACGTGGCACGAAGATGCCATCTTGGGCGTGGCAGGGGAGAAACGGCGGGAAGCCGCCATCTTGTCTTCACCGCGGCGGGAAGACGCCGCCATCTTCAACATCGCGGCGGAGAAGCAGCTTTGCGCTGCCATCTGGAGGTGCCTCGGGGAGAGCAGCCTGCAGTGAGCTGCTGCGCGAGGACGAGCTGCGAGGAGAGGACGACGATGCTGCGGCTGCTGGGGCGGGAGCTTCCCGTCCTGGCTCGGGTGCGTGACAACGGAGCAGTCAAGTCGCCGAACGAGTTCTGCGAGGCGTCTCAAGTTGCCACCCTGCCGTCCTCTTCTTGCTGCAGCCCCGGGCGAGTCGTAACGATACGCACCTGGCCTTAACACACACCTCACCCATCTTTCGAGGGCCGGGGGGCGATTGTGTTTTTTTCTCTCATGACTCGATTGTGCGGAGCGCGGTTCGGACTGTGTGTATGTGTGTGTAATAACGATGAACGCGTTATTTGCTTATTGCTGAGTGTCAAATAGTGTGTGTGCGCTGCTGCGTGGAGTTGTTATCTTGATGGCGAAGTTAATTATTAACTCGGGAGCGTCGGGTATCTTGCGCTGTATTATCTCGTGGGTTACCTTGTGCGATGGGCTTAATTGAAAAAAAATATATATATGTTTTTTTGGTGTATTGTGCTGCGAGGTGCTATGTGCGATGTGGTTGTTGCAAGAGAGAGAATGTTTGTGTTGTTGCTGCAAAGTTACGACAGGATTACTGGTGTGTTGGTTGCCTGCAGATCTGCTTGCTATTGTGCTTAAATGTACGCGTGTGATCGCGATATGCTGACTGTATGTGCTGTTACACCGTTCTGTACGGTTATGGGGTGCAATGCATTGGTTGACTATTGGGGTTTGGGATTGTTATTATTTGTGCGTACCTGTTTGGAAATTGGTAACAAATTCGAGGGGAACCCAAAAATTTGGTTGTATGGTTGTTGTGCACACGAGATTGCGTGTATATTATAGGGGTAATTGAGCTTTTTGAAAATGAGGGTGCGCGATGACGCCGTTGTGGGTGGCTCAGATGTTAATGCTAATGGGATCGTAAATGGGCGCCAAGTGGCGTCGCGTATTCGGTTGATCGCATGCAGCCACGAGTTGCTTTGCGAGTTGGGTTGTGTAACCAATGTGGTTGGTAAAATATTGGTTAAAAATTCCCCGATATGACTGCTGCGCGCAGCAAGCTGGGGCTGTGCGTCTATCGTTGTTGGGGTTGTTACAATAAGACGGGGGATGCATTTTGTGACCCCCAGCAAAGGGAAGCTGGGGTGCACGCACGGAGAAAACTGGCCACGTGTTCGCACGTTGGGCCGCCATTTTGCGCGCACGCGGGGTATGGCGACGATGCGCTTTGCGGAAAGGGCCGCCATTTTGAGTGCGCGCGAGATATTGCGAGAACGCGCTTGGCGAAGGGGGCCGCCATTTTGAACGCGCGGGAAAAACCTCGGTGGGGCAAATATTCCATCTGTTATGCCGCCATTGTTGATTGGGTGATGCACGAGTTGTGGTCACATCGGCCTATGGCTGATGGCTGACCTGACAGCCCGGAGGCGAAACCTCCGTGGTATGTCTTAAACTAATGGGCCATGTGCTCATATGACTCGGGGAGTCATGGTTCAGTTGTGCGGTGGCAGACTGAACCTGGTGTGCCGGGGGCTCACGGGATCTGGGTTAGGGTGTTATTGTCTCTATAAGAGAACATTGCCCCGTGGGGGGAGTCCATGGGGTCTGGCATTGCCGGGGGATGAACCTTCCCTGGGCTATAAAGCGTCAGACTATAAGAGGCTGGTGTGTGTCCATCGCTGATGGGATAGTAAGGGTGGAGCATGGCCGAGTGCTGCTCATCCCCGAAATGGCACTAGCCGAGAGTATGGTAAATGGATGTTGCTGTGGGTTGACGACCACGGTGGGGGTTACGGCGAGTTAAACGTTACCGCTGGGGAGCGTGGCTCTCTCCACGCGAGGGTGTGCGATTAGGCGTTTGTTGGTTTGTTGAGAGTGACTGTGGGTACATGCTGTGTACGTCTGAGGTCTGTGCTGGTCCTCAAGGGAGGACTGCTGGTGGGTAAGAGCAGAATTTTTTGTTGTTGTTGTCACGTGTAAATAATATTGTTGTTAAAATGTAAATACTGGGGCATCGATCGCGGTTAATTTGGGTAATTATTGGGTTTTTTTTTTGTTTTAAGCGGGCCGGATTTACATCATCTCCACTACCCTGAGGCCGGGTGGCTGTCGTGTACGACATGCGGATGTGCGTTGTTGTGTTGTGCCTCAGGGGATTGGATTCTCCTTCTCGTCACAGATTCTTCAGCTCCCGTCGCACTGAGTGTTACCTGGTGTGCTAGCTGGATGAGGACTTGAAGGAGCAATTGAGCGCCGTTCGTCATTCTGCTCTACCACTTGCTCTTTGATGTTGGACTTGAGCCGAGCGGATGGAACAACAACATGGACACGCTTTGAGACACCACATTTCTGGGTTGTGCGCGTGTGCCATTTTTGCGTGTTGGTGGCCGTTGTTGTGCTTTGTGCTATTATTATTCTTGTTGTTCTGTTCCGGTTCCTGATCCTTCCCCTTTTGTTACTTGTTGTTGTTATAAGGTCTATTGTGTCTGGGGGACTCCTGGTTGTGATGCCTTCGCCCGCATTATTTTGTTCTGTTTCAGCTGAGGACGGCTGGAATTTTCTCTACGGGGGAGGGTGGTGTAATGCGGCACCGCCGGCCAGCGGTGACCGAGCACGGAGGAACAGGGAGCAGCGGTGGAGCTGCTGTGAGAGCAGCCGGAGGGCTGCACCAAGAGCCTGCAGCGGAGCTGCAGAAGCGCGGAAGGCTACGGGGGCGAAGGCAGCTGTGGAGCTGCCAGGCAGAGAGTCTCAAGAGGAGTGCCGTGAGGGAAGGAGAACGCGAACCCAAATAAAGGACACGGAGACAGAGAGAAGCGTCCGAGTCTTTTATTACACATGTAACATCTCTGTATGTAGTAAGTATATGTGCATGTAACATGTCTGTTTGTAGTAAGTATATGTGCATGTAAAATGTCTGTATGTAACATGTCTGTATGTAGTAAGTATATATGCATGTAACATGTTTGTATATAACATGTCTGTATGTAGTGTGTATGCATGTAACATGTATGTATGTAATACATACATGTATGTATGTAAGTATGTAATACATACATGTTACATGCATACATATGTGAAACGGAACGTGCAGGATCCGGATGGGATTAAAATTATTTAAATAACACTTTGGTGGTATTAGGATCAAGCTGTCCACTGCTGGATAAATGTTCCATCTCAATGGTATCAAATAGCAATATATATGATTGTAATTCGATTCTTATCCTGCATTTCGTACCCCTGGTTCGCCTTTCACTTACCATACGTACGACCACAGTGTGAGAGATTAGCATGATGTTAATGTAAGAAATAAGCATGTAACTGTAGAAATGGAGGAGAGTGGCCTCCTCGACGAGGGAGTTGCTAATCACCCTAATCTCCCTGCCTAACCTCTCCCATCAACATAGTGCTAATCTCCCATTAACACTGCTGTTGTGCGCATATGCTGAGATGATACGCTTATGCGGCGACGGAAGATCATTTCTTGCTAATCTCTCTCCTTATTCTCGCCCACTGCTGGATGATTTTTTTTCCTTCTTGTGTTGCATTCGAAACGTCGTGATTTAAAAAAAATTATTCATTTTTTCTACCGACGGGACTTTAACGAAAGAAACAAAGAGAATGGATCATTGCAGTCACGAATGCTTGAAATCAAGATTCCTGAATATTGTGGTAGTTAAGTGTTCCTGTTGAGCTAAAGTTACATGTGTTTTTTTAATGCTTTGTTGGGTGATAATAAGCGACTTTAGATAACCGATTTCAGTATGTACCTTGATGAAGCATTTGTCTTATGTATGGCTTGGACTTCAACACAGACGCACAGTGAACAAATGTGGTGAACTAAAAATGAAATCAATGGGAAATGTTTGCATTGTACTGTCAGTGTTTGAACAAGGGAAGTATAAAAAATTCGGCACGAGTTTTTAATTAAATATACTTTTATATGAATAAAAATGTATTTTAACAACTGTCTGTCCGTTAATTATTTAACAATGTTTATATCAAAAACGTGTGGATCCGAGTTTCAGGTGCAGCATCTCCGTCACACAAGTCTGACCTTAACCGGCATCATCTTGGCTGTCTCCCTATTTTCATGTGTTCCTGGAGGGGAAAGGTTCCCATTGTAAATCGATTTGCAACGTTACGCGCCCTAATCCCGAACTATACAGGGGATCACCTGCACTCTATGACATGTAAACTGTAATTTAGAAACAATAACAATGAAACATCAAATGACGATCATCTATAAACTAGTTTAGTAATTTATAACACCACAAAAAGTTGTACGGTATTAGAATATAATTAAAAGTATTAGAATTACACCGTGGTCATATTATAATCGCACTCTGTTCATATATCTGTAGAGGAGTAATCGCGGACATGACGTCACGCTCGCCTCCAGGGGCGATGACTTCACGGAAAGTGACGTCATACTCGCCTGGGGACAGGATGACGTCATGTCGCGGCGGGATACAGAAGGGAGAGCCCGTGTCGTCATCGGGGTCTGTGCTGAAGTCGGGGCTCGGAGTCAGGTGGAACGGGGAGCCAGGGGCAAGGGAGTCGGGATAGGAAAGAGCGCAGCGCCAGGGCTGGAGGTGGCTGCGCTCCTCGGCCGGCCGTGTTGGCTGAGCCCACGGCCGGCGCAGAGGAGGCAGCACGGGGCAGCCGACTGTGTCGGAGGGACCAGTGGGACTGAGCCCGGGACCCCTCACCCCTGGGAAGTTGGTACACCTGGTGTATGTCAATAACTTTAATAAACCCTCGGCGAAAGATCTTAAACCTCACATTCGTCTCCGAGTGCGTCCTGGGAACTTCTCTACATATGTATAATAGTGTACGGGCATGTGAACTGTAATATGTATGCTAACTGGGGCGAGCAGGATTAGGAATCAATGAAAATTATTAGAATAACACTATGGTGGTATTAAAATTACACTGAGCTAGAGTGTAAGCTATATGTAGATGCGCATTGGGAGTCGTAAATGCAAACTGGGAGGTGCTCGGTTGTTTAGAATATCAAAATGAGTATAATCGATTCGGGTTCTGCTCTTCCTTTCTTCGCCTGGATGGTGCCGCGGGATGCAGCATCTCTGAAGGTGATGCTGCTGCAGTTGCTGCTGCAGTTGCTGCTGCAGTTGATGCTGCAGTTGCTGCTGCAGTTGCTGCTGCAGTTGCTGCTGCTGTTGCAGCAACATCGTGATTGCATATGACCATGTTGTAATTGTAATAATTTTTATCCGATCCTTGCACGTACACTATACAAACATATGAGCAGAGTGCGATTCTTATACGACCACACTGTGATTCTAATGCTTCTAATGATATTATAATACCTTACCTCCGTTTATATGGTTTTAAATTAAAACACTAGTTTATAATCGTTTAATGTTTAGTGTTATCATTTATAGTATTACAGTTTACATGTTATAGAGTACAGTTTATCCCCGACATACTTCGGGATTAGGGACTGGTACGTTGATGAACGATTAACTACGGGGACCTTTCCCCTCAAGGAACGCGTGTTAATCGGGTAGACAGCCAAGATGCTGCCGGTTAAGGGCACACTTGAGTGACGGAGATCCTCCATCTGAAATTATCTGAACATGTTTTTGCTAGGAACATTATAAAATAAAGACTGTACAAACATTTGTTAAAAATACATTTTTATTCATCTGCAATCATTTTTACGTCAAAACTCGAAGGGAATATTTATTACGTCCTATGTTCACACATTTCCAGTACCATGCAAACCATTTCCGTTCCAGGAATACCAAAGCGTTAAAGTATAATTTCCCATGATTTCCTTATTAGTTCACCACATTTGTTCACTGTGCGTCTATGTTGAAGTCATGGCCATATATCCAACGAACGCGTCATCAATGTACATCCTGAAATCGGCTATCTAAAATCGATTAATACCAATAAAAAAAAGCTATACACTTGACAAAAAAATCTTTAAAATGTTGAGTAAAGATGTACCTACAGACGCATTCCAACTTTAGCTCAACAGGAACACCTAACGACTACAATTGAACCCTCTCACAACCAGTGCTCATCACACCACTTCGGCAAGTAATCCGATAACATTACAAACCACCACTGGGCACGTCATTAAACTCACAAAAACTGTAAAACTAAAATGGTCAAAATTACACACAAAAGTACTCGATACGGATTAAAAGGTATAGCCACATGACGTAATATTTTTTTCAGTCACCCCGAGCTCTCTGGTTGACTCTCGAGCCACTCCATTACATCCAGCCATCTCTCGGGATCCAACTGCATGGGGTCGAAGGTGGAAACTTCTTCAGGACTCATTTCAGCACCTTGAATTTCAGCTTTTGATTTTAGTTTCCTATCATTGTGGACCTTCTGATGCCTGTTCCTGGTTGATGACCGTGCAAATGCCTTCCCACACACAGAGCACAAGAATGGCTTCACGCCCGTGTGCGTTTTCTTATGATCTTGAAGAGTTGACGAGTGTGCAAATGCCTTCCCACACACAGGGCACAGGAATGGCTTCTCGCCCGTGTGTGTTCTCTGATGACTTTGAAGATGTGATGAATGTGCAAATGCCTTCCCACACACAGGGCACAGGAATGGCTTCTCGCCCGTGTGTGTTTTCTGATGGCGTTGGCAGTTTTCTGAAAGTGAAAATGCTATCCCACACACAGAACACAGGAACGGCTTCTCACCCGTGTGTGTTCTCTGGTGGCTCTGAAGATGTGATGGCCGTGAAAAGGACTTACCACACACAGAGCAATTGAATGGCTTCTTGTCTCCGTGTGCGTGGGGCTGTGGAGAACGTCTCTGCTCCATGTGAGCGTAGTAACGGCAGCGGTGTTATTGAGTCAAAAGTACGCTATCGGCCTCAATGATGTTTAGCGTTGAGTTTTGGATTTGCTAACTGCTAAAACAAGAACGACATTCGTGTCTAACCGAGACGCAAACAAATCCCAAACACGTTTAAGAGTTTATTCGCGAAAATAGACACTTACTTGGAGATTCACGGTATATCGATGTCTAGAACCCGTCTGAAGATGTCGCAACGAACTTTCCCGACGCAAAGTCGCCTAACTGTCGACAGCAATTGTGCTCGCCAGGCTGCGTTGTCTCGCGGTTGAAGGGCGATCAGCAGAGCGACGAGTCGAGCGTCCAACCTCATCAAGTTCCCTCTCGAAATGCCATTGAGCTCTGCTTCTGAGCCGCCTTATAACTCCCCCCCTAGGATCCAAGTCCTTTTCACGGCCATCACATCTTCAGAGACACCAGAGAACACACACGGGCGAGAAGCCGTTCCTGTGCTCTGTGTGCGGGAAGACATTTGCACACTCATCACATCTTCAGAGTCACCAGAGAACACACACGGGCGAGAAGCCGTTCCTGTGCTCTGTGTGCGGGAAGACATTTGCACACTCATCACATCTTCAGAGTCACCAGAGAACACACACGGGCGAGAAGCCATTCCTGTGCCCTGTGTGTGGGAAGGCATTTGCACATTCATCACATCTTCAGAGTCATCAGAGAACACACACGGGCGAGAAGCCGTTCTTGTGCTCTGTGTGTGGGAAGACATTTGCACACTCGTCAACTCTTCAAGATCATAAGAAAACGCACACGGGCGAGAAGCCATTCCTGTGCCCAATGTGTGGGAAGAAATTTGCACAGGCATCACAACTTCAGAGTCATCAGAGAACACACACGGGCGAGAAGCCATTCTTGTGCTCTGTGTGTGGGAAGGCATTTGCACGGTCATCAACCAGGAACAGGCATCAGAAGGTCCACAATGATAGGAAACTGAAATCAAAAGCTGAAATTCAAGGTGCTGCAATTGGTCCTGAAGAAGTTTCCACCTTCGATCCCATGCAGTTGGATCCCGAGAGATGGCTGGATGTAATGGAGTGGCTCGAGAGTCAACCAGAGAGCTCGGGGTGACTGACAAAATATTATGTCATGTGGTTATACCTTTTAATCCGTATCGAGTACTTTTGTGTATAATTTTGACCATTTTTGTTTTACAGTTTTTGTGAGAGTTTAATGACGTGCACAGTGGTAGTTTGTAATGTTATCGGATTACTTGCCGATGTGGTGTGATGAGCACTGGTTGTGAGAGGGTTCAATTGTAGTCGTTAAGTGTTCCTGTTGAGCTAAAGTTGGAATGCGTATGATGGTACATCTTTACTCAACATTTTAAACGGGTTCTTTTTCAAGTATATAGCTTTTTTTGATTGGTATTAATCGACTTTAGATAGCCGGTTTTCAGGATGTACATTGATGACGCGTTCGTTGGATATATGGCCTTGACTTCAACATAGACCCACAGTGAACACATGTGGTGAACTAATAAGGAAATCATGGGGAATGAAACTTTTACGCTTTGGTATTCCTGGAACGAAATGGTTTGCATTCTACTGGAAATGTGTGAACATAGGACGTAATAAATATTGCCTTCGACTTTTGACGTAAAATTATTGCAAATGAATAAAAACGTATTTTTAACAAATGTTTTTCAGTTCTTTATTTTATAATGTTTTTAGCAAAAACATGTTCAGAGAATTTCAGGTGGAGGATCTCCGTCACACAAGTGTGCCCTTAACCGGCAGCATCTTGGCTGTCTACCGATTAACACGTGTTCCTTGAGGAGAAAGTTCCCCGTAGTTAATCTTTCATCAACGTACCGGGGATAAACTCTACTTTATACCATGTAAACTGTAATACTATAAACTATAACACTAGACATTAAACGATTATTAACTAGTGTTTTAATTTATAAACATATAAACGGAGGTAAGGTATTATAATATCATTAGAAGCATTAGAATCACAGTGTGATCGTATAAGAATCACGCACAAACCCATTCTTAACTCATGAGATTATGAATCTTTACAATTTTATAACAATCACAAATTGTGACAAAGCGAAATTCCCACAAGCAAAACACCACGCTCACGTGACGAATTCTTAAACAAACTGCAACACTCAAGTGACAGAACTCAACAAAAAAACGCCGCAATGAAAAGAACAACATCAATAGACAAATCCTAAAAACAGACAACACACGCACGTTAGTAGCTGTTAGAAGAAGACAACACCTAGCACCTTCAACTATACACATACAGCCCCAAACAGCCAACTCGTAAATGGGGCGGTATATGACAGCCTTCGCTGCTGTCGACGGGGCCAAGCAGCGAGTGTTCAACTCCATTGTTTCAGAATCCGTGTCATCACCCGGCCACAGCGCCTTACCCAAACTACATCTCCCCAACAAAACAGCATTCCCTATGCTGTGTATTTTAGCAGTTTATTTACGGACGCACTTGAAGATAACAATTCGTCTAGAAAAGGCAGGCGACTTGTTCTACCAACAGAATTTCAATTTAAATCCGAAAGAAGTATGAGTTCATTCATGAGTAGTATTCACTAAGCCCCGATTGCACTCACCTACACACAGTTATGATTAAACAAAGTAAACATTAGTCGCTCATCTCAGCTCAGACATGATCATAGCAATTATTTCCACATCCGTGTCGGGTCCCACGAGAACAGGGCACGTTCACAAACTCTCAGATTTTAAACTCACATTGTATACTCTAACATTATAAACTCTAACAATTCAACCTTTAAACTATAAGCTAAACATTGTAACGCTTTAAAATAACACTACAAACTAGTGTTATAGTAAACTATAATGTTGTGATCTCTCACAATATAAGCTATGAGCGATACATTATAACGCTATAAAATAACATAATAAACTAGTGTTACAGATTAGAACACCGTACATTGAAGTGTGATATTCGAATTCTTAGTTTCACACCGTGGTCCTCTAAGAATCACACTATGCTCGTGAGTATGTAACATGTCTGTATGTAATATGCATGAATGTAATATGTCTGTATGTAACATGTATGCATGTAACATGTATGTATGTAACATGTTACATGCATGCATGTAACATGCATGCATGTAACATGTATGTATGTAATATGGACGTGCGAACCAAGGGTGGGATATGTGAAACGGAAGGTGCAGGATCAGGATGGGATTAAAATTGTTTGAATAACACTTTTGTGGTATTAGGATCAAGCTGTCCACTGCTGGGTGAATGTTCTGTCTCAATGGCATCAAATAGCAATATTCAGTATGTAAATATAGAATTATCTTACAAACCCAACATAAGCCCGTGCAATTATGATTCGTTACAATTGTAATGACTCGTTTGATAAGAGCAGGGGTCCTCAAACTTTTTAAACAGGGGGCCAGTTCACTGTCCCTCAGACCGTTGGAGGGCCGGACTATAGTTAAAAAAAAACTATGAACAAATTCCTATGCACACTGCATATATCTTATTTTGAAGTGAAGAAACAAAACGGGAACAAATACAATATTTAAAATGAAGAACAAGTAAAGTTAAATCAACAAACTTGCCAGTATTTCAATGGGAACTATGGGCCTGCTTTTGGCTAATGAGATGGTCAATGTCCGGTTCCATATTTGTCACTGCTAGTCGTAACAAGTGATGCAAGTGTGCATCCGTTAGTCTAGATCTGGTTGGAGATTTCAAATGTTTCATTCTGGAAAAAGTCTGTTCACAGACATAAGTGCTGCCAAAGATGGTTGCCATTTTGAGTGCATGGTTCCTGAGATGAGGATATGTCTCAGAGGGGAGAGATGCATAGAAATTATGAAGGCTGCTTGACTTGAATGCGTCTTTCAGAGTCACAATTCTGCAGTTCAGCCAGTTCTATTTGGTAAATTGTATCCACATTTTCAATGTCAATAGAAAATGGGTTATGGAAAAGCTGTATGTCCTGTTAATGGAGATGAAGCTCTTTAAATCTAAATTGGAACTCCTTTTGCAATTTTCCAGTGAATCCACACATGTTTTGTTTGGGAATGCAACCAATGGTTTTTCCGCTAACAGATTTTGAGTTGTGGGGAGATGGCAGAAGTTTTCCTCCTTCCCTTGTTTGATGAGGAGGCCTAATTTTACTTCAAATGCTTTGACATGTGATTGCATATCACAGATGAGCTTCCCCTTTACTTGAAGTTGCACATTGAAACTGTTGAGTAGCTCTGTTACATCTGTCAGAAAGGCAAGGTGCCATTTCCATTCTGCATCATTTAGCTCTGGTACTTCTTTGTTTTTTTGAAAGCAGAAAAGCTGTAATCTGTGGAAGTAAGTCATAGAAACGTTTCAAAACTCTCCCTCGACTCAGCCAACGGACGTCTGTGTGGTACAGAACATCTTCATAGTCAACATTTAGCTCAGACAGAAATTCCTGAAATTGTCTGTGGTTTAGCACATGAGCTCTAATGAAGTTAACACAAGATACCACAATTTTCATAACAGAGTCCCACTTCAGTGATTTACTACACAGCGTTTGTTGGTGGATGAGGCAGTGTATGGCTATTGGATGAAAATGGTTATGTTTGTCCATGTCTTGGTTAATGCGAGCAATTACTCCTTTCTTAGACCCCACCATGCTAGGAGCACCATCAGTTGTCACACTGGCTAGTTTAGCCCAGTTCAGCTCCAAACCATTCACAGTTTGGCAAACCTTTTCATAAATATCCTCTACTGTAGTTGTTCCTTTGATGCTTTGCAGTGCAGCAAGCTCTTCTGTGACTTCGAAATAGTCATTCGTCCCACGAATAAAAATTAGAAGTTGTGCAGAATCACGAACATCATTGCTTTCGTCGAGTGCCAAGGAAAAATAGGAAAAAAATTTGTGGAGTTTTGCAAATGCTGATGCAAATTGTCTCCCATTTCTTCAATCCTCCGTGTAATTGTAGGTCCTGAAAGACTCACTGTACTAAATAAATCGGCCTTCTCTGGACACATCTCTTTGGCAACAGAAAGAAGGCATTCTTTAACAAATTCTCCCTCCACGAATGGTCTGCCAGTGCACGCTATTAGCTTGGCAACTTGAAAACTTGCTCGCAGTGATGAAATATTTAGCTCCTTCTGCTTAACAAAAGTATTTTGCTGAGTTGTTAATGTATTTTTCAGTTTTAATATTTTATCTTTTCTCACTTCTCCGACCAAATAATCATATTTATCTTTATGTTGAGTTTCATAGTGTCGACGTAAATTGTATTCTTTGAACACAGACACTATATTCTGGCATATCAGACACACAGCTCTTTCCTTGTACTGCATGAAAAAGTAATCATAAGTCCACTGTTCTTTGAATACCCTACACTCCGAGTCAATTTTTCTCTTTCTTGACATCATTGTTTCCTAGGGAGTCAAAATTGCTATTAGTAAAATACCAATATATATATACAGCGCTACAAAAACAATATACCAGCAATAACTTTGCCCACACAGAGACATACAGACTGCACTGCCCATTAATGCAGTCTGATTGGGGGAACTCCGCTTTTACCCCAGGCTCACACTGGTGCGGGTGCCATTAAAAAGTTAATTACACCTGCAGTTTTGTTCACAGATCGCTGTGCGATCTGCGAACTCGCATAATAATCTGATCGCATGGGGGAGAAGACCCATGCGATCCGATTCCACTGCAGGAAAAAATAATGCACATGTGCCTTTTTTCTTCCGAATCTAATGCAAGTTCAGCCATACAAGCATATGGCTGAACTCGCACTGCTCAGAGATCGCAACAGTATGAACCGGGACTTACACAACATACAACATATAACCTCATACAACTGAATAGCAATCAGAATATAAATGCACTTACTTTCATTTAAATTGGGTTTCCTACTCCTCAGCTGTCTGTCACTGACCAGCACGGGATAACAGCAGGTAGCCACTCCAGAGATCAGAGATCACTCTGTTATTACCCCTCTATCATTTACTCAGCTGTGCTGTAGATCCCCAGCACACAGGAATATCACTGGGAGTGGAGCCGAGGGGCAAGTGAGGGAGCTGAGGGAGGGAGAGTCAGTCAAGCACAGCCAGGGGAGGGCTGGCAGCCTTAGGCCTGGGGGGCAAGTCCAGTCAATTGGCCCATTGAACCATTCACCAGCGCAGCCCAATGAGTGCCCACCGCCGCAGCTCAATCAGTGCCCACCACCGCAGCCCAATGAGTGCTCACCAGCGCAGCCCAATGAGTGCTCGCCAGCGCAGCCCAATGAGTGCTCACCAGCGCAGCCCAACTAGTGCTCACCAGCGCAGCCCAATGAGTGCCCACCACCGCAGCCCAATGAGTGCTCACCAGCGCAGCCCAACTAGTGCTCACCAGCGCAGCCCAATTAGTGCTCACAAGCGCAGCCCAATTAGTGACCATGGGCCGGATAAATGTCCTCGGCGGGCCGCATGTGGCCCGCGGGCCGTAGTTTGAGGACCCCTGGATAAGAGTATTTGATCAAAGTTTGTTATCCTATCACGGAACACCACTGAAACTTAAGCAGCAACAGTACCAGCAACAACAGTACCAGCAACAACAGCAGCAACTGCAGCAGCAGCAACAGCGGCAGCAGCAGCAACAGCGGCAGCAGCAACAGCGGCAGCAGCAGCAACTGCGGCACCAGCAACATCACCTACAGAGATGCTGCGTCCCACGTCACCATGCAGGGGAAGAAAGAAAGAGCAGAGCCCGAATCGACGGCCGCCACCCGAACATCAGCAGCTGTTGATAGCGTGATTCAAATAGGACCACGTTGTTACTATACTCATTTTGATGACATTCTAAGCCGAGAACCTCCCAGTTTGCATTTACGACTCCCAATGCGCATCTACATGTAACATACACTCTAGCTCGTAGTATTCTAATACTACCATAGTGTTATTCTAATAATTTGCATCCGATTCCTAATCCTGCACGCCCCAGTTCGCATATCCGACCCCCCCGCTTCGCAAGTCCAAATGGCATGCATACACATTACATACATACGGGCAAAGTTCACATGCCCGTACACTATTATACAAATGTAGAGAAGTTCCCAGGACGCACTCGGAGACGAATGTGAGGTTTAAGTTCGTTCGCCGAGGGTTTATTAAAGTTATTGACATACACCAGGTGCACCAACTTCCCAGGGGTGAGGGCTGCCGGGCTCGGTCCCACTGGTGCCCCCGACACAGTCGGCTGCCCCGTGCTGCCTCCTCTGCGCCGGCCGTGGGCTCAGCCAACACGGCCGGCCGAGGAGCGCAGCCACCTCCAGCCCTGGCGCTGCGCTCTTTCCTATCCCGACTCCCTTGCCCCTGGCTCCCCGTTCCACCTGACTCCGAGCCGCGACTTCAGCACAGACCCCGATGACGACACGGGCTCTCCCTTCTGTATCCCGCCGGGACATGACGTCATCCTGCCCCCAAGCGAGTATGACGTCACTTTCCGTGAAGTCATCGCCCCCGGAGGCGATGACATCACCCACCTCTATGACCTCTACCTGACCCCGCCATGGGCGGAGCAGCTTGGGGGACATACAGATGTGTATGTAAATTATCTGTTCAATCGAACCGGGGGTCGGATATGTGAACTGTGTGGGGGGGGTACAGGGCAAGAATCGCATTCAAATTTTAGAATAACAATATGGTCGTATTAGCATTTTAATGGGCTTTAATGTATGTTACGTGCAAATGCAAATCGTTAGTCGTAAATACGAGGGAGGGGTTAAGAGGTGCACGTTTAATCCAGTGTTAACATTTATTTTAGCATCATATTTAAGGACACTGTTGTTGATAAGAATTCGTCTGGACATGGCACGTGCCTTGTTCTACTCGATCGACCAAAATTAGTACAATGTCGGTCATACAGCAGTGCGAGTTCATTCATGAGTAATATTCACAGAGCCCCGATGACACTAACCTACCTAAAGTTATGGTTAAACAAAGTAATCTTGAGTGACTTAATTCTCAGCTCAGACATGATCATTGCAATCATTTCCAAAGACGTGTGGGGTCCTACGAGAGCAGGTCCCGACTACAAACAGCTGGGCAGCATAATCGCAAGTCGCTGCGTCGCCCTCGAAATGTGATGTTGCTGCTGTTGTTGTCGCTGCTGTTGTTGCTGCTGTAGTTGCTTCTGTTACTGTAATAAACTCAGGGAGGTGGTGTTCCGTGATGGGATGACGCCTTTGATTAAAGCCTCTGATCAAACTCACCCGATTGACGCCCTTGATCGTTGCGTTTGATCAACTCTGATATTGTATACTCTCACATGTTAAGCTCTATCATAGTGAAACATAATATTATAACCTATGAACTACAACCTATCCATTGTAACGCTGTAAAAGAATATTACCTATTGGGTTTCACTCCCTCGTCGAGAAGGCCGCTCTCTTCCTTTTCTAAAGTTACATGCTAATTTTTCACGTGAACATCACTAGCCCAGGCCACTTCTTTATGACCCGAGGTCTACACCCATTTCAAACCTTTTAAAAGAGTCTGCCTCAGCAGCAGACCATGCTTTCCCACCTGACGGACGCTTGTGTTGCGCCTGAAACGTCGTGATTTATTTTATGCCTATGTGACTTTTACTGAAAGAACCAAAGAGTTATAAT